AGCCGCCTGACCGTGTTCCGACGATGTCTCATCTCGTTCGTAGTCGCTTCTGCCATCGATGCTTAGGGCTCGTCTGCATCTCACTGCTCTGTTGTTCTAACTCTCGGCATCTGGGCACCGTTACATTTTTCTCACGAAGTCGAGCATTCTGCTAAAAGCTAGTGATTATTCGGTGCCGAGAAATGACTCGTAGGCCTATACTCGACTGGCAATTGCAATGCACTGGTATAGTAGAAAATCACTTAGTAATATCTGATTTCTCGTTTAAACTACAACCTCCCAACACTATAATCCTCTTCGTGGCAGGTTTCGTTTAAAATCTTAGACAATCGATAAAAGAAAAACTCATAGCCGTCGTTATTCTCTGTTCTCCTGAGAATCAATCATAGGCAATGCGAGAGAGAAGGAATGAACTTTAACACTACCTGCTGCGCAGTAGAGCGCACAACGAGGGGTATCACCACAGTTTCATGCGGTAAAATTTTTTTAAAACCGGCTTTGATGCGAAGAAACCAGAAGTTCGTCAGACACGGTCCTAGCACAGGTCTGCCTTCACCGATGTTTATGGATAGACATGTCAAATTCTTTAATTGTTTCGAACCATCTACTGGCCTTGTAATCCAATAGGCACACTGCATTTGATTACTCAAACAACTCTCTTGAAAGAGCGGCGTTAGGCCACTGATGACTACAGAAAATGTATTACGAAAACTGTGCAGTGGTATGAGTACCCAACTATTGTACCGAACTCGCCACAAACCGCTAATTTATCTTACATTTTAGTGTTGGAGGTTGTCAGCCTTTTAATAAATGCTCCTTATTTAAATTGTTCGCATCAGTAACTGGGCCTCCTTTACTCTTTATCTGAACCTCTAATTTTCGCTTCATATCAGTTACCTTCGCTACCTTTCGGAATCGCTTTGCCCCCGCACCCCTCCCCTCTTCGACACTCTTCGCACAAAAAAGTGCCTAAACTGCTCAATCTTCGGAAGGTTCATGAGGTATTGCGCACAAACTGGAGGGTTGACAATGGGACAACTACTGGCACCAAGGCTTGCCATTGCACTCATGTCTAAGGTGGAAGCGCCAGTAGTCGATTTTGGGCTGTTACTTCACTGTAGATATATAGATGACTGCTTGGTCATTTGTTCAGCACAGGAGGAAATTGACAAATGTGTCGAGTTGTTAAACGAGCAGTCAGAGTGTATTAAACTCACCCGAGAAAAACCAAAAGAAAAATGGCTTCCATTTCTAAACGTGCAAATTAACTATGAGACTATGAGAAAACGGCTACATGACGAATCGGTATCGATAACCAAGTAGTAAAAACATCTTGGTTCACTGCCTCTCCTCCCACCCCTGTCACACGAAAAAGCGGTTTGTGAGAAACATGTTTCGAACAGCTACCAGCATCAATCAGAATCACCTGCATCATCTGTAGTCCCGTTGATCGTCGAGTGACTCGAGCGGGCGCCAGTAAATCTTCCATTTTTCCCTGTCGTGTGCAAGAGCAGTCCAGTGGGTTCTGCTCTAGGGACTCGTCGAGCATCATATCAGACACGGTCCTAGCACAGGTCTGCCTTCACCGATGTTTATGGATAGACATGTCAAATTCTTTAATTGTTTCGAACCATCTACTGGCCTTGTAATCCAATAGGCACACTGCATTTGATTACTCAAACAACTCTCTTGAAAGAGCGGCGTTAGGCCACTGATGACTACAGAAAATGTACTATGAAAACTCAGCAGCGGTATGAGTTGTGCAATACCCAACTCGCCGTTAATCTGCTAATTTATCTTTCACTTTAGTGTCGGAGGTCCTCAGCCTTTGTTATTAAGGGCTCCTTGTCTAAATTGCTTGCATCAGTAAATGGGCTTCCTTTATCTGAACCTCTAATTTGCGCCTCATATTAGTTACCTTCGCTACTCTTCGGAATCGCCTTGCCAATGTATCTCCTTGTGGCCCTTGCGGCCCTGGTGGCCCTTGAGGCCCCGCTGGACCTGGTTGCCCTCGTGGTCCTATTGGCCCTCTTGGCCCTGGTCTTCCAACTAGTCCTGGTGGTCCAGTTGGCCCTGGTGGCCCATCTTCTCCTGGTGGCCCTGGTAGCCCTGGCTGTGGTTGCCTTTGCTCCGGCTGCATTGGCTCACGCATTTTCTTTTCCTCTTGAGCATACTTGGAATAGCAGGCCTAAAAGAGCATGACCGCCTTTGCGTGGTGATTCAGAGAAGCACCGTCTTCATGTATTGTAAAACGGTAACATACCAGTGTGTTCCCTACAAAGGTAATGAGAATGAGAAGATGTTTCATACTCAAAACCAAAGGACTATGCTTCTGCAAAGATACACTCGATTTTACAGCTTCTGCGTTTGTTGGGTGTAAATTAATCAAGAACTGTAAATGTAAACAAGAATAAGAATATGTTCGCCTCACTCACTGGACAAAACATACAACAGTGATCAAAAATGCTTATGAGAAAGAGAGACACAATAGTGTGACTCTATCACATAAATCAAGGATGCTTAAAATGTGATAACACTGGCAGGATGTAAGTGAATAGAGAGACGAGCAACTAAGCTCCTTATATTCCTTGTTGAATAGGTGGAGCTGGGTTGTAGATTCAGAGTTTTCAGGTGGGTCGGATCTGATACAGTCGCTGCCGTGTGCGATAAAACATCAAAGAAGAAGCAGTTTCCACAAAGGGCTAATTCAACCCTTCTACGACAAATGTGGGAAAGTACATCAGATACGAACGGAAAATTTCAGACGAAAGGACGGTTCCAGCAACTCTACGCCAGCGTGTTTCAAGTCCAAGTGAGTGAATAGGAAGATCCGTCTTCTGTAGAGTTTCTGCCTGGTACCGTATACGAAAATGGAGATCATTCCTAACAGAAATATCCTCCGTCTCTTTAACGCTTATCTTCAAACAGCAGTGAAATAATATAACATTTATGACTATTTCTTACTAAGCTAAATCTTTCTAATCCTTTTGAAGAAAACAAAATGTGATCATTTTATTTTCATCTGTGTTTTTCACCATTGTTCTCATTACTATTCTTTATCACAAACCCAAATAAAACACTGATCATTCATTACCCTCATAGATTGATACTGTGCTGACCAGGAGCAAGGCAACCTGGGGAGTCTTCTGGTCGGAGATAAGTGGCGGACCAAAAGCGACCTACATACCCTAGACGCAGATGGATTCAAAGGCGGGATCCCTGTTGCACCGATTTGGCACATAGCTCCTGTGTTACGAGCCAATTAGGCAAAAATCATGCAATCGAGTAGTAGGGAAGTAAATTAGAGGCGGCTAGATGTCGCCTCCAATAAAGTAGAACCCCGCCCACTCTGGGAGAGAGAGAAGCTACTCGTGAGTGGACTCAGCCCCACGCTCAAAGTCGACGAGAGCTCAGTAAACTATGTGTGTACCAAAAAGCTAGACTCAGCCCCACGCTCAAAGTCGACGAGAGCTCAGTAAACTATGTGTGTACCAAAAAGCTAAATACAGTAAAAGAGCTGGCCTCAATCTCCTAACTCCGAAAGCGTGCGCAAATCGACAGCATTGGTTAGGACGAGTATGGACACGTTGCTAAACTCTCAGAGCCTTTCTGAGCTACCTAAATCGAAAAGGCCTAAGGTGACATTCTGCAGCTACAGTGCATCTGCACCCTCACTGCCGTCTGAGTCCTCGATAGAAAACTTGATTATGCAAGCAAGAACGATCAGGTACTACGTCATCGGACTGGCCGATGACGCCACCCATTCGCCGTCGTCTATGACAGCGAAGAAGAACTGTTCTTCGGGAACATGCGAAAATAGAGGAAAAGGTGGTGTCAGCGTTTCTGTCAACACTAGTTTGGCCATTAACATCGATTTATTCCAGCAATAGTAACTACTTGAATGGAACTTTTGCGATTGAAGAGATGTGGATCAATACCGGTTTTGACAATCCTCGCCATTTACGCGCCGACATCAAATTATGAGAATGAAGAACTCGAAGCGTTCTATATGGTCGTGGAGAAGCTCTATAGAGAAGATCACACATTCTACGAGATCATCACTGGAGATTTTAACGCTAAGATTGCACCAAGGAGAGGGTCTGAAGATCGTCATATTGCGACCCACGGATTAGAATTTAACGAACAGGGTGAGCGGCTATCTGAGTTTATCATGGCGACCAAGACCGTCCACGGTAACTCGCAATTCCAGAAGCCCCATCCTAAACGCTGGACGTGGAAGTCTCCCAATGGAGAGTACAACAAAGAAATAAACCACATCAGTGTAAATCGAAGGCTTTGTGTGACTGATGTCGCTGTTATTCCAAAATTCTACACGTGACCAGGAAATCGCGTCTTCCGTGCAAGACTTCAATTCTCGCGGATAAGAGAATAAGCCGCTAGATTCAGAAAACAAAGTCCCAAAATCACCATAAAATAAGACTTATTATACATCGACACGGAATGAAATCGGCCCATTCGATAGCTTCACATTTGCGCTAGGAAAGCTGAGAGTTAGGGAGTCACTAAGAGACGTCTGTCTCCAGAGGCAAACGCGGGTAGACAATAAAGGATCTTAAGGGTTAAAGAGCAGCACATATGGACGAAGGTGCAGTCTGCGGAAGAGCCAAACGGAACACTTATACCTCGTAGAAAGGCAATGAAAGTTATTCATCATTAATACTCATATCTCTTCGATAGCCACCTCTCTTTGCCATCATATGGAATAAGGGAGGATGGATATGTATTGCCACCGATTCTCCCTTCCGAAATCGGACTTGTTAATCGTCGGTGAAAAATCGAGCAACATCGGATCCGGACAGAATAAGATCTGAACGCCTGAAGAAGAGACCGCTAGTCCTCGTAAACACACAGCCTCGGTTTTTCACACGTTGTCTGCCTGAATCCAAGGTTCCTAGTCACTGAAAGAAAGTCACACCGTACCATTGTTTAGGAATGGTGACGAAATTGACAAATGTTTCGAGTTGTTAAACGAGCAGTCAGAGTGTATTAAACTCACCCGAGAAAAACGAAAAGAAAAATGGTTTCCATTTCTAAACGTGCAAATTAACCTATGAGAAAACGGCTACATTACGAAACGGTATCGATAGCCAAGTAGTAAAAACATCTTGGTTCATTACCTCTCCTCCCACCCCTGTCACACGAAAAAGGGGCTTGTGAGAAACATGTTTCGAACAGCTACCAGCGTGTGCACAGGAAGGGAACAGAGAGAGAAGTCCCGGAACTTGGCGGGGCCAATACCAATTTTGAATGGCTGAGAAACTGTAGCTCACGTTAGGTGTAGAGGAAGCGACAGGCCCACGACGATAACTGTAGCGACAATAAGGTGCAGTTTATCCTGCCCTTCATTTCAAATGAAGTAAACGCAGCTATAAAACGCTGTTTAAGAAGAGGCGGTTTAGAGAATTCGGTAACGATAATTCAAATGCCACTAAGTAATCTAAGACGCCAGCTAGTTTGCAACCGCCCATACGACCGTCTATGTGCAACACAAAATTGCACAATTTGCTCCAATGATCGAGACGGTGAGTGCATGAGATATATATTATTGAGATTGAGAGAGATTTATTGAGATGAGATATTAGATACTGTATATTATATATTATTATATCAAATATTGCGAAACATAACTTTAATGATGGTGAAATATTTGCAAAACGCCGGACCGCATGTGTGTACGGTGGGGAACGAACGCGCTAATGTCCATTTGGGGAGTAACGCGATCACCACCACACCATGCGGGTCCTTCATCAGATTGTTGTTAATAATAAGCGATAATAACAATAATGATTATAACAGTAATAATAATAATAATGAGATGGCAGATGAAAANTGTTCCCATTTACTCAGTTGAACTTGAAACACCCTTGCGTAGAATTGCTCGCATTGTTCCTTCTTCTACAAATTCTTTATTCTTATCTGATGCACTTTCTCACATATGTCGTTGAAGGATTGAATTAGGTCTTTGTGGAAACTATTTCTTCTTTGTTTCATGTTCTATTGCACACAGAAACAACTGTATCAGATTGTACTCACCTGAACACTCTGAATCCACATCGTAACTCCGCCTACTTCTCTAGGAATAAAAGCAAGTTGGTCGGTCGTCTCTCCATTCACTTAGATCCCGTGACTGCCTTCATATTTTCTCAACATCCTTGCTTCAGTTGCAAGAATCACAATGCTGTGTTCCTCTTTCGCACAATCATTTTTAATCACTGTAGTACGTTTCATAATGCACTTGCACCGAAGATGTTCTCATCCCTTTGCAAATTTATAGCTCTTGATTCCTTTTTGCCTAATAGACGCAGAAGACGAGCAAAGACGAGTGCATCATTGCAGAAGCATCGTCCGCTGGACTGAGCATGAAGCACATTTTCATTCTCGTTGCTCAGGTGTGGATTACAATGGTAGGTTAACGTTCTTGCAGTATCTGAGGACAACCGCTTGTCCTAATGCTGAACAAGTGTCATGGTCTTTCAGGCCTGTAAATCGTACAGTGCTGATGAGAGAATGCGGGAACAGCGGACAACAATGCCGCCGCTTCAAGAAGCAACAACGCGACCGGGGCCAGACCCACGAGGGCCACCGGGGCCACCAGGGCCACCCGGGCAACCAGGGAGAGATGGCATATCAAGGCGAGGTGGGCCACCAGGGCCACCAGGGCCACCAGGGGTAGCGGGGATACCTGGCCCAAATGGGCCAGAAGGGCCACCAGGGGCACCAGGGCTGAACGGGATACCAGGGGCACAAGGGTTACAAGGGCCACCGGGAGCGCGTGGCCCACGTGGGCCAGAAGGGCCACCAGGGCCACCAGGGCAAAATATAGGAGGATGAATCCGAAGGCAAACGAAGGTAACAGATATAAAACGCAAATTAAAGGTTCAGTTAAATAGGAACGGTTGTCCAATTGTTGATGACCGTCAGGAGGAATTTAAATAAGGAACTCCTAGCAAAAATTTGTCTGTCTGCAATAAAAACGCGTCATATAAATTAGCAGATTAAGAACGAGTAGTCTATAAATCACATGATTAAAGGACTTTCCTAAAGCAGCTTTTCTGATCATCAATGGCCTAAATCTCTTTGTCTAAGGAGTTAGTCGATTGTAGTCATGTGCAATGTACCTTGAGAACAGCTTGTAAAATCGCCTCATTATCGAACTTTTGTTTATAGGGTACGGTGTTTAAGTAGTGGTCTATGGCGCTGGAAAACATCCAAAACGACTCAAGTGTTACTGTGAAAAAACGCATTGAAGCCTCTGTTTGATGTAGACTTTTTCTGTACTCGAGTTGCTACCAATAAACCTTCTTCCCGGTCTTTCTTGTATTTGCATATGTTAAAATATTCTATGAGATATGAAGCTGCTACCAACCAGTATACTCTTCTCCTGCTGCACTGTAACAACTTTACATCAAAAATTTGTCCTCGCTGACCATCCGTAACATTATCCAATGTATTGTTCGAGAAAATGGAGAAAAGTGTACTGAAGAGCTCAGAAAACCCGACGGAAGATAAGTTCGTCAGACACGGCCTTAGCACAGGTGTGCTTTTACAGATGTTTCTGGGTAGACATGTCAAATTCTTTAATTGTTTCGAACCATCTACTCGCTTTGGAATCCACTAGGCACTGCAACGAAATAGTTAGCAGCGAAGTGAAGCGGTTCAGATTGGTGTAGAAAATTAGGCACGCGAGTGTTTCAGCTGTTTTATTGATCTGGCAGCCTTAAACGAGGGCAATTAAACCTTTGATATATAAATAAAACATTAATAACATAATAGTAACGATAGAGATGTAATGGTAGAGGAATGACGCGAGTTACGCTATGAGGTGGTAAGGCTAGTAGTGAAGTGAGGCTAATAACGAGATAATGGCATTCTAATATTACTATACTATTAATACAATATTAACAGCAATAATGGATGATTACAAAGAAGTAACCGTTGGTTAACCGTGAGCGATGCCGTGCCGCGTTTATTCGCGGCCGGTGCGGCGGCTGAGGGAGACAGTATGCTGGGGCGGAGAGCGATTCGGACGAGTCGTGTTTTCGGCCGAGCTAAGCTTTCAACATTATAGCGATGACTTGCATTTTAGTGGAATGATGAGGACAGTAAATTATATGAGCGCTGATGGTGCTATGGACAGCGATTGATGAGTGGAAGACTTATAGAAAGCAGTGAGTGTGGAAAGACTCTGTGTTCAGTGTCATTGATACAAGCGGTCTGTTCTTCAGGCGTTCAGATCTTATCCTCTCCGGAACTGTTGTTGTTCGATTTTTCACCGACGAAACAACACGACCGATTTCGGAAGGGAGAACCGGTGGTAGCACATATCCGTCTTCCCTTAATATGATAGCAAGAAGAGGTGGTTATCGCAGCGATCTGAGTATTAATCACGAATAACTTTTTCCATTGCCTTTCTAGAAGGCATAAGTGTTCCGTCTAGGCGTCGGAGTGCAATCATCTTGGGTTTTGTAATCGACAATCTTTCGATGCTGCTTGCGAACGCTCTTCCCCAGACTGTAGCTTCATCAATAAGTGCTGCTCTTTAACCCTTAAGATCCTTTATTGCCTACCCGCGTTTGTCTCTGCAGACAGACGTCTCTTAGTGACATTCTAACTCTCAGCTTTCCTAGCACTGATATGATGGTATCGAATGGACCGATCACATTTCACGTCGATGTTATCGAGAACGACATTTTCTTAAAATCGAACTAGTGGATTGAATGAATGCCATTTCATGGCAATTTTTGAACTCAGTTTTTAGTGTTTAGCTGCTTCTTTTTCTCTCCGCAAGAAATGAAATCTTGCGCGAAGAACGCGATGACCTCCTGATCACGTGTAGTATTTTGAAACAACAGCGACATCGGTTAGACAAAGCTTTAGATTTACAGTGATGTGGTCTATTTCTTTGTGTTACTCTCCATTGTGAGACTCCCACATCCACCGTTGGGGGTGGCGTTTCTGGAATTGCGATTTACCATGACTGGTCTTGCTCGTCATTGTAAACTCAAGCATGTGCTCACACTGCTCGTTCCCTTCTATTCCGCGGGACCCAATGTGACTTTCGTCAGATGTTCTCCTGGGTCCAATCTTAGCGTTAAAATTTCCAATGATGACCAGGAAAAGAGTATAGTCTTCTTTCTGCTTCTGTTTAACAAATGCGAGGTGTTACCTTACTTCTTTATTTACGCACAAGCTGACGTTTCGGCAGATTTCGCCTTCCTAAGAGCCTGGAATGGTCAAGTTGACTGCAATCTACACGGTTAAACACCTCCATAACCAAACAGAGAAAATGTTGAACCGAAATATCAATGACACTGAACACAGAGTCTTTCCACACTCACTGCTTTCTATAAGTCTTCCACTCATCATTCGCTGTCCATAGCACCATCAGCGCTCATATAATTTACTGTCCTCATCGATCCACTAAAATGCAAGTCATCGCTATAATGTTGAAATCTTAGCTCGGCCGAAAACACGACTCGTCCGAATCGCTCTCCGCCCCAGCATACTGTCTCCCTCAGCCGCCGCACCGGCCGCGAATAAACGCGGCACGGCATCGCTCACGGTTAACCAACGGTTACTTCTTTGTAATCATCCATTATTGCTGTTAATATTGTATTAATAGTATAGTAATATTAGAATGCCATTATCTCGTTAT